GGGATTCCCCCTGACCTGTACAGCGCTTTGAGTGGAGTGTCCAGAAAAGCGCTCTATAAGTGTAAGCAATTATTATTATTATTATTATTATTATTATTTAGTTACAAATTGAAATGCTTTGGCAAGTATTGGAGTAGAGTATTTGCTTTTAATATTGTGAGATTTACATGTATGTAGGGTTTCTACTTGTCTCTTTTTAAGTTCAGCAGGATGTTTTTAAACAAAAAAATCCCGCTGAACTTATTTGATATCTGTAGAATAAATGGACGTTGCTGATACTTGTAATGTTTTATGACATCATCAAAAAGTTATACCTTGTGTATTTGTTTTAAATGTATTTTTTTGCGTGTGGTTTGAATATTGGGATGCAGTGTTTTAACATCGACTCCATAGTCAAAACATTTTATGTTCCTTCATACTCATTTGTACTATAAACGTGGATGACATCACCATTTCTTGAAATATCTGAAGATAAGCATCTGTTGCCCATTGCTGAAAGTGATCTTTGTTTCTTTAATATATACTGTACATTTTGTTTTTCTGTGTTTTGTTTTACCCACTTTTTTCTCTTGTCCTGTATTTGCAGGGTCAGAGGTCAGCGCTCTCCCTGACGCTGGGGACAGGGCTCCTCTTAAACAGCAGCCCAGCGAGGAGGAGGAGGAGGGGGGCTCCCGTCTGATGCAGGAGACAGAGCTTGCCGCCGCACACGGGAAAGAGACACTTAGTGAGCAGCAGCACACAGAGAGCAGACAGAGGGTGGAGGATCTGGACTCTGTGCCCGTGATGAAGACCGAGCCTGAGAGTGAGACACCTGGGCTCTTAGTATCTGATGACTTTACAGAGAAGATGAATGAGCTTAAAACATTTAACACTGGAGAAGGTTTGAATGAAATGCAGTCTGTGTCTGTTCTTGGGTACAAAGAAGAAGAAGAGGATGCTTTTAGCCTTCCGAAGCTGGAGGAGAATCTTCACGCCGATGAAGAGGATACGGCCCGCGTTCCCCGCCCAAAGCCGGATCGCTGCTGGGAGCATTCTGGGAAACCACCGCGGGGACAGAAGACGACGAAGAATCCGTCCAGGCCCTGCCGGGAGGGAGTGGACACGCCGTCGTCGTCGCAGCCCGGGGCACCAGAGCAGCGTCGTGGTCGGTCTGGCACCCCAGAACCCCAACAGCGCCTCGCCGCGGGAGAGAGACCGCTCAGCTGCAGTCAGTGTGGGAAAAGTTTTAGCACGCCAAGCAGCTTGAAGAGACACCAGCGCACTCACACGGGAGAGAGGCCCTACAGCTGCGCTCAGTGTGGCAGGAGTTTTAGTTGGTCGGGCGACTTGAAAGCCCACCAGCGCGTCCACACGGGCGAGAGACCGTATTGCTGCGCCCAGTGCGGCCGGAGTTTCAACCAGCTCGGCACCTTGAAGACCCACCAGCGCCTCCACACGGGGGAGAGGCCGTTCAGCTGCGCGCAGTGCGGGGAGAGTTTCCGAGTCTCCAAAGCCCTGAGGGCCCACCAGCTCATCCACACGGGCGAGAGGCCGTTCGTCTGCGCTCAGTGCGGGAAGGGCTTCAACCAGCTCGGCACCCTGAAGACCCACCAGCGCATCCACACGGGGGAGAGGCCGTTCACCTGCGCGCACTGCGGGAAGAGCTTCAGCCACGTCAGCAACTTCCGCAGCCACCAGTTCGTGCACGCCGCGGAGAAGCCGTTCAGCTGCAGCCAGTGCGGGAAGAGCTTCGCTCTCCCGAGCGTCCTGCGCGTCCACCAGCGCACCCACGCGGCGGAGCGGCCCTTCGGCTGCCCGCAGTGCGGGAAGGGCTTCGGACAGCGGCGGTACCTCCAGACACACCTGCGCGTGCACGGGGGGGAGAAGCCGTTCGTCTGCGGCCACTGCGGGAAGGGGTTCCGCAAGGCCTGCCACCTGACCACCCACCAGCGCGTGCACACGGGGGAGCGGCCCTTCTGCTGCGATCAGTGCGGGAGGAGCTTCGGCGACCCGAGCGCCCTGCGGGTCCACCGGCGCATCCACACGGGAGAGAAGCCGTTCAGCTGCGGTCAGTGTGGCCGGTGTTTCAGTCGCTTGGACAGCTTAAAAACCCACCAGCTTACCCACACGGGGGAGAAGCCGTTCAGCTGCACTCAGTGCGGGAAGAGCTTCAGTGACCCGGGCAACCTGAAGAAGCACCAGCGCGTGCACACGGGGGAGAAACCGTTCGCCTGCGCCCAGTGCGGCAAGGGCTTCGGCGTCCTGGGCAACCTGCAGAAGCACCAGCGCGTGCACACGGGGGAGAAGCCCTTCAGCTGCGGCCAGTGCGACAAGCGGTTCGGCCACGCCTGGCACCTGAAGAGCCACCAGCTCGTCCACGCCGCCGGCGGCGCCGCCAGGCCGTTCCGCTGCAGTCGCTGCGGGAGGGGCTTCGCCCGGGCCGACCGCCTGCGGACCCACGCCTTCGTCCACACGGGAGAGAGGCCGTTCGGCTGCCGGCTGTGCGGGAAGGGTTTCGGCGCCCCCAGCAGTCTGCGGAGGCACCTGCGCGCTCACCCAGGCGGGGGGGCTGCGGCTTCAGCCTCGGCGCCGGGGGGGAGTTGAGTGGCGCGCGGCGGGGGTCTTTGATCCGGGGAAGGTGTTTCCGCGACAAGAGCGAAGCCATCACTGTCCTGCGGGGGTGGCTCAGCTGTAATCATGACACGAAAGATTTGAAATGAAATCCACCCAGGAGAGAAGCTGTTCAACTGTTAACGTAGGGAGAGTTCTCAAAGAAAGCCCCGGTTGAGTTCTTCCTGACCCTGCTTTTCCACTTTTCCTGTATGTGTGACGCCCCTTTCCGAAGTAACGGCCTGTTTTTCTTGGCCTAACAGCCCGAAACCAACACCCGTTCGCTTTTCATTTATTTTCCTTGCGTTTACACGGCTGTGATCATGCCACGAAAGATTTGAAATGAAATCCGTCCAGGAGAGAAGCTGTTCAACTGTTAATGTAGGGAGAGTTCTCAAAGAAAGCCCCGGTTGAATTCTTCCTGACCCTGCTTTTCCACTTTTTCTGTATGTGTGACGCCCCTTTCCGAAGTAACGGCCTTTTTTTTTTTGGCCTAACAGCCCGAAATCAACACTCGTTAACTTTTCACCTTCGTTTACCCATTGTCACCGACAGCATCCAAGTGAAAACAGACGCTCAAGCATTGTGAAAATCTATTACAGGCGACAACCTAGAAAACACGGGTTGGATAGGTGTCGATACTTGCTTGACAACCAGAATTCTGTTTTAATGCGTCTAAAAAAATGTTTCACACCTAGACTTGACGACAGTGGCGCATTTCTCCTAAAAGAAACCTTTCACCTGAGAGATTTTTAGTTGCATTGAGCTCAAGGCTCTGACCAGGCCAGTCGAGGACATTAAACCATTCCTGTTCTTTTGCAGCTCCCCTCGTGCTGTTTCAGTGTGCTTTAGGTCACTGTCGCACCGAAAGCTTACCCTCTGTCCCACTTTCAGCCTTCTTGCAGACAGCAACGGGTTTTTCAAGCGTCTTCTGCAGTATTCTCTGTTCATTTCCCCTGACAAGTGCCCCAGTCGTGCCCCAGTCGTGCCCCAGTCGTGCCCCAGTCGTGCCCCAGTCGTGCCCCAGTCGTGCCCCAGTCGTGCCCCAG